GTCAGATTTTTTTATATTAATAAGGTCATTTGTTGAATGCTTATGGAATTTGTGTAACAAAATAAAGGATATAATAGAGTATTCATTTTAACCGAAGGATTTAAAGCTGCATTTCGTTGTAATAATTCTATTTTAAATTCATAGTTTTTACTTGGCATCACCTATATAAAATGAATTTAGTACGCATCCTTTAATTCATCTATTTAAGAGAATTATGTCAAATCGGTTTGGAATATCGTGGTTTAAAAATAATAGGTCAACAAAAGGGAATTCTAATACGAACAAATATTATAATGAAGATTCTCTAAATTCAAATTACTCATCCCTTACAATCTGTGGTTCTGGAAGCGTTCAAGAATCCTCTGTATGTGACACAAAACTCTTAGATGAACGTCTTAATCGCTACGAAGATGAGTCTGGTCAAATGAATAGTATAACATCATTGACTGACAGAGTAACATATTTACGAAAAAACAGAGAAAATGTGGTTTCAAAAGCACTCACTAATATTAAAGAATCAATGAATGTTGACCTTTGTTTCGTCTTAGATTGCACTAGTTCCATGTCTTGTTATATCAAAGCTGCGAAAATGCATATATTAAGTGTAATTGATTACGTAAATCGTAATAATTCAAATATAAAGCTCTGGATCGGTTTCTGTGGTTATCGGGACCATGGTGACGGTTGTGGACGTTTACAGATTTTTGACTTTACTAGTTCGCACAAGAAATTTCAAAATTACTTATCAAATAAAGTGATTGCTAACGGTGGAAATGATTTTCCTGAAGATGTATTAGGTGGTCTTTATGCTGCAACAACTAGGATGACCTGGAGTAATGCCACTCGTATTCTTATTCATATTGGTGACGCTCCACCACATGGCCGTCGTTTTACTAACTTTGATGACATCTATCCCAATGGCGATCCAAACGGTCTAACTGCTGAATTTGTGTTTGATAAAATGCGATCAAATAATATTTTATACCATTTTGGGAAAATTACTGAATATACTGATGTTATGATAGAAGTTTTCCGTTCTATAATTGGAGAATTTCTTGTTTTTGATCTCAAAGGCGATCTAGCAACATTAATAAATAAATTTTGCAAGGCTACTTGTTCTGCTATATTTTCTTCGGTTACACTAACTACTACTTTAAGGAACTCTAAAAGTATTTATTCATTACAACGTAAAAAACTTCAAATCAATCCACTCGAGCCCTATTGGTCTATTCTTCCTGAGAAAGCTGGAGATCTTTTGAGCTATGTTTTGCCTAAAACTCTAGCTGAAATTATGGATGAATGTTATTTTATTAATTCAAATTTTACTGTTCAAAACATATCCTTTAAGCTTGCTTCACAACCTTTCGCTGTTGGTTCTGAACGTTATGCATATTTTGCTCTTGATACTAAACTCGGACAAACTGATAAATTAGTGATAAAAAAGTATCACGACGTTAAAATAGGCTCTATAGAGCAGTATTTGGAATCGGTAGAAATCTCTAGTGTCGCTTATTTTCTTTCAACTGAATTCAATAAAGCCGCTGAAAGTATTGGTGTTAAAAAGAAAATTACATTTATTGATGTAAAAATCTTATGTGATAAAACAGACTCAAATACTTATTACTCTGTTGAGAAATATATTAATAACGCCGAATTTAAACGGTTTAATGTAAATAGTGGCATTATTATTGAATTTCATTCTATCCTTGAGGCATTTGCTCATTTTACATATCATTACACTAAAGGATATTTGGTAGTTTATGATTTACAAGGTGTTGATCTAGATAATATGTTCTTACTAACAGATCCATCAATACATTGTATTGATTTATTAAGATTTGGAATAACAAATTTGGGAACGAAAGGAATTCAAAAATGTTTCTTGGCAAATCATAAATGTAATGATATTTGTAAAAAACTAAAATTAATTCGAAATAGAGTGAGATAATAAGTTAATCATAACATAAAACTTGTTAGTAAACATAAAGTAGAATAATGTATGTAGACATTCATATCCTTTTGCAATTAGATTCTTTTGTAATTATTAACATCAAATTTAAATTCATTTGTTTATGTACTATTGTATTTATATAAGCATTAAAAATTAAAATTAAAATTATTATCTGCTTTTATTATTGATGATATTTTAGTTTTTCTTAAAAGAATACCAACTTTATCTATAAAGTTACTTATTTTACTTAACACAAGTACTAAAATTCATAATGCAATCGAAGTATAAATTGTAACTATTACGAAATAGTTTCGCTAGTAAATTTATTTAACTTAACGTTAGACCTTCCGAATTTGTCGCATAATTAGCCTGCGGCAGCAATGTGAAATTTTTTTGGACATTGTTTACATAGTACTTGCCGGATAATTAATAGTTGTTTTGTAAAAATAACTCCCGTTATTTGATATTTCACATCCAATAACTATATATTATTGTTCATCTCAGAAGCTGTCCTTAACCTATCCATTATGCGCGTCGTTAAAAGGAGTTCAGCAGAAAAAGAAATTCTTCAAGTATAAGATGGTTATATAATTCAAAATTAATTATCTAATTATATGAAGAGTAAGTATTATACTTCCTTGAAGGAACTTACACAAGTTTGACTTTGAATAAATAAAGATGTTTGATCTTTGTAAATAAATTATGAGTGTTTTGTAATTGTAGTTGCAAGTTGTAAATGTGGAAATACCTGTATAATACACCAGTCGCGTGAATAAATCAAGTGAGTGAACTTTCTGTATGAATAAGACGCAAGAAGCCTATAGTTTAAGAATTATATGACACTAATTGACATTAAATGTTTTCAGAATTTGTCGATAATTTCTAATATTCTTGAAGAACCGGAAACTAATTCAGATTCGAAAAAGTTAGTTAATTTAAATCTAGTCTGGAAGAGAACTTTCATTTCTACTTATTCACATAAGGATTAGGGTATTACTCATTAATCGAGATCATTAGAATAAAATTATAATTGTTATCACCTATTTTATATTTGTTATGGCATATCTTTTAATTCTTTATTTGTTCTTATTTATAACTACAATTATGCACCCATAATCTATTATACCACATAAGTCATTTTACAAGCTCGTGAATTTGTCTTTAAGTTTCACAACCTCTCTTTTGGATTCTTTGGCTAGAAAACGCGTATTTTTCTAGGAGAAGGAGTAAACAGAAAAAAAAAATCGAGAACCATGCTCGTCTTTGGCGGTTCAGTGACCATCTACCTAGGAACTTCCCGGGTTCTTTGCTTTTACAATTTCGCATATTTTCTGCTCCGCTACGTAAAAATATGCTCGATTTTTATGCGATTTGATGAATTATGCTCAAAATTCTGCTGTTTCTGGAATTATGCGATCGCATATGCTATGCGACAAATATTAACTTTATGCGCAGATTATGCTATCGCAGATATTCTGTATCCCTAGGTGTAACGTAGCACAAGCAAAAATCAAAACAAACGTTTCGTTTTGTAAAAAATCGGTTATTTCTCAAACAAACCACCTTTTGCGCTCTAATTAAAAGTTTTCCTAAAGCAATTTTCTGTATAATTTGCTAAGTCCTGGATCAAACCCTAGTCTTAACTCTTTTATAAATACACTTTAAAGAATTTTGTTATAATTACTGCTGAGCCACAACCTAGCACACAATTTAAATATGCTGCGCCTGCCTGTAATACAACCAAATTGGAAAATTTCATATGTTGATCGTGTAAAGTTAGTGTAACATGAAATCGTCTCATTTTGCAGCGCACCCTCTAATTGTGTAACTGGAAACCAAAACAAACACATTTGCGTACGTATTAGTTTAGGATTAGGGCCAGAATTAGGAAAGAGCAATAGCGAAGAAGCTACTAACCGTGTAAAAGAAGATTTCATAGGCGAAAATTTGAGTTATAAGCGACTTCTTTAAAAAATCGCAATTAATGATTTACGCGTTATGTATTCTCGATCAATTGGGTGAACCTGCGCTAAATCCTTAAAAAAATTCCTTGACAAATTTTATATATACGTAATACCTAAATCATAATCTTATTAGTAAAAAAAATAATGTTTTTCCATTCTTAGATTTGTATCACAAAGCACAAATAAGTAAATCACAGTCGTCCTTAACTCAAAATTTAGTCAATAATAAAACACAACTTGATTGTGATTGGTCAATCATTGATCATTTAGCATACAATTTAGAAATAGCGATATATTATAAAATATTATCCGCATTTATAGAAGCTAAAAAAAAATGGTTGTTTTTGTAATATTTTAAGATATTTACAATTTTATTGATTTTTTTTTTTGATGATATCACAAGATTACAGTTTTTGTTTAGTTAAAAAGTTTAATATCAGATATGAAATTTTAGATTTAGGGTGTTTTCAAGTAGCGTACTACATGAATTAGCTATTGATCGTAATAGTGCGCAACGGTTGTACGTAGTAAAATTTATAGAAATCTTTGTTAATGATCCATAAAACAAATAATGATGTAATTGACGTATTCTCACGTAACTTCCTCAATGTGATTAACTTGTGATTGTGTTTATTCTCAAGCGTTGCAATAATTGAAATAGTGATTTTCGACTGATGGTTGTGCAAATACTTTTATTATTTCTATCTTTTGATCGTTACCATTAAAAATAACTTTTACAAAGTTATAAGTCAAAAAAAAATAAAATAAAATAAAATAAAAAAATTCCATTTTATGTTTCGCCTTTTCAGAATTCAACAAGAAATTTCAGTTTCCTGTCTTTTTTATTCGTTGCAAAAGCTTTTAGCATAACAGTAAGCAATGTGTGATTTGAAAATCGTAACTTCTCTGATACGGATAATATCAAGTATCTGTACATATTTAGTAATAACGATAGTTAAAGCCCCTTTTATTAAATCTGTAAGGCTGTGTACATACTAGCATGAGGATAGCGTGATAGCACGAAGCCTCTTGCGTAAGTAGTAAGTTCTAGAAAGGATATACTTTTCCTATTGACTGAAATGTATAAAAGCGTGGGTAGAACTTTTAATCAACGAGAGACAGAATCAAGACCTCGTATCTAATAAATAAATTCACATGATAAAGTTTAAACAATAATCTTACTTTCATTAAAACCAAACTATCATCGATGTTTAAATTAAAATTCTTCCATTTAACGAAGTTAACAGCTGGAGCTAAACCGCGCATATATTTGCATTGCTCTCTCATACAGTCGTAACAGCAATAAATTAATAACTCGTCTGCGCTGGTTATAATTTGAAGATCCATAATTATAACGTTAACGTTAATATTAAAAGGATAAAGTAATTGAACAATTATTTTTAATAATCCATCAATGAAAAATTTTAGCAACTCAGCGCAACTCTTTGAAACAAAAAGGATGTTTGTACCTCTGTCTCTTGTTAATTGAAATGATAAGCAACTTTGGATCGGATAAGCGATCTTCCATTAATTAAATTTTTCTCTATTATTTTATATGACGTATTAAACTATTGTAGCCTTATAGCATCCATAGGAATATTAAATACAATTGATTCGTAAAACTATTTTCTACTAATTAAAATTTACTTTCCGACTGATTGACTAAAGTGCTTGAGAACACCCTTAGTTAAAGTTAGGATTACTGTTGTTATGCAAAACTATTTTTGGGAAATGGCGAAAGTCGAAACTAAACCCGGCGAAAGTCGAAACTGGTGAAACTCTAGCGAAACGTCGAAACTCTGGTGAAACGTCGAAACTCTGGTGAAATGTCGAAACTCTGACAAAATGTCGAAACTCTTGTGAAACCCCCAGTAAAGCTAAAACCCTTGGAGAAAGTTAAACACAGCGAAGATAAAATCCCTTAAGATTTTAGAAAGACTGAGCCATATTGGTGAATCTTAATATTTTATGCGTGGCTATTATGTACAACATATGGCTTATAACTTTTATTTGTATTTGAGCTTTCAAGCTTTGAACTTATAAAAAATCAATTCAATGCTTGAAAATTTAAAGTTTGAAATCCTGTTTTTTTTTTAGTGGCATTTATTATTTATTATTTGTATAAAATAAATATTTAAATAAATTTATTATTATATAGTTAAAAAATTTTTCATTAGCATTTCATCATTAATTCATCATTAAAACTTTAATTAAATGTAAGTAATTTGTTAATATTATTATTATTTTCCAATTTTTATTTAAATATAGCAAAATTTAGATTATTAATTAAAAAAGTATCATATAATTATGAACATGTAAGGGAGTTGGAGTATTATCATTACATTAATCTAAAATTATTGTAACTCATGATATATTGATCCAAATTAAGTGATTTTTATACCATTAGAATCATCTCATCAAGACGAATCGAATGGTGCCAAAATCATTTAATTTGGATAGCAAGATCACCAAATAATTAGATCTGAATATTATATAAATTAAAGTAAGTATAGTGATTATAAGGGGGTATTGTAGTTATTCAATTCTAATTAAATAATTTTTATACTATTTGATTCATCTCAATGAGATGATTCAAATGGTATAAAAATTATTTAATTTGGATTATTATGACATAAGATATTGATGTTTGAATATTTTATAAATTTAAGTTTTAAAAAAATATTCAAACATCAATATATTGTCATATAGTGATTCAAATCAAATGATTTTATACTATTTGAATTATCTTACTAAGATGAATTAAATAGTATAAAAATCATTTAATTTAGATTAATAAATTATATGATAATAGCTGAGTGATTATAATATCTTAAAATATTTCTATTTCCCTTATATAATAAATTAAATTTGTATTAGATTAAAATTAAATATTAGATTAGATAAAAGTCTATATACAAATTTTAGTTTAATATTTTTTAACAAAATATATTTTAAGTTCTGTTATTTTATTAATTATTAAGATTACTAATAATTTAATTTATTAATATAGTATAAAATAATAATATAATTACA